TAGATTTTCTTTCCCTCTCCCTTCTCTCTCTCTCTCTTATTAATTTTTTGGCGGGAAGGGGGGGGGGATAAGAACCATTCGCCCTTCCCCCGTATCCATCTTTCCTCCTTCTTCTTCTTCTTTCTTTCCTTTTATATTTTCTTTTCCTTTCCCTTCTCTCTCTCTCTCTCTCTCTCTCTCTCTCCTATTTATTTGTTGGCGGGGGGGGGGGGGGAGGCAAGAAGAGCCCTTCGCCCCCGTTTCCCTCTTTTCTTCTTATTCTTCCTCTTCTTTCTTTCCTTTTTATCTTCTCTTTCCCTTTCCCTTCTCTCCTCTTATTTATTTTGTTGGCAAGAGCCCTTCGCCCCCTTTCCCTCTTTTCTTATTCTTCTTCCTCTTCTTTCTTTCCTTTTAGATTTTCTTTCCCTCTCCCTTCTCTCTCTTTCTCTTATTAATTTTTGGCGGGGAAGGGGGGGGGGGGAGGTAAGAACCTTTCGCCCTTCCCCCGTATCCATCTGTTCCTCCTTCTTCTTCTTCTTTCTTCCTTTTATATTTTCTTTTCCTTTCCCTTCTCTCTCTCTCTCTCTCTCTCTCTCTATTTATTGTTGGCGGGGGGGGGGGGGGGGGGAGGAGGCAAGAGCCCTTCGCCCCCGTTTCCTTCTTTTCTTCTTCTTCTTCCTCTTCTTTCTTTCCTTTTATCTTCTCTTTCCCTTCCCTTTTCTCTCTCTCTTATTTATTTTGTTGGCAAGAGCCCTTCGCCCCCTTTCCCTCTTTTCTTATTCTTTTTCTCTTCTTCTTTCCTTTTAGATTTTAGATTTTCTTTCCCTCTCCCTTCTCTCTCTCTCTCTTATTAATTTTTTGGCGGGGAAGGGGGGGGGGGGGGGAGGTAAAAACCTTTCGCCCTTCCCCCGTATCCATCTTTCTCCTCTCTTCTTCTTTTCTTTCTTTCCTTTTATATTTTCTTTCCCTTTCCCTTTCTCTCTCTCTCTCTCTCTCTCTTATTTATTTTTTGGGCGGGGGGGGGAGGCAAGAGCCCCTCTTTTCTTCTTATTCTTCTTCCTTTCCTTTTTTATTCTCTTTCCCTTTCCCTTTCCCTTCTCTCTCTCTCTCTCTCTCTCTCTCTCTCTCTCTTATTTATTTTTGGCGGCGGGGGGGGGGGGGGGGGGAGGCAAGAGCCTTTCGCCCCCGTTTCCCTCTTTTCTTCTTTTCTTCCTCTTCTTTCTTTCCTTTAATCTTTTCTTTCCCTTTCCCTTCTCTCTCTCTCTCTCTCTTATTTATTTTGTTGGCAAGAGCCCTTCGCCCCCTTTCCCTCTTTTCTTATTATTTTCCTCTTCTTTCTTTCCTTTAGATTTTCTTCCCTCTCCTTCTCTCTCTTTCTCTTATTAATTTTTTGGCGGGAAGGGGGGGGGGGGGAGGTAAGAACCTTTCGCCCTTCCCCCGTATCCATCTTTCCTCCTTCTTCTTCTTCTTTCTTTCCTTTTATATTTTCTTTTCCTTTCCCTTCTCTCTCTCTCTCTCTCTCTCTCTCTTCTCTCTCTCTCTCTCTCTCTCCTATTATTTGTTGGCGGGGGGGGGGGGGAGGAGGCAAGAGCCCTTCGCCCCGTTTCCTTCTTTTCTTCTTCTTCTTCCTCTTCTTTCTTTCCTTTATCTTCTCTTTCCCTTTCCTTTTCTCTCTCTCTTATTTATTTGTTGGCAAGAGCCCTTCGCCCCCTTTCCCTCTTTTCTTATTCTTTTTCCTCTTCTTTCTTTCCTTTTAGATTTTCTTTCCCTCTCCCTTCTCTCTCTCTCTCTTATTAATTTTTTGGCGGGAAGGGGGGGGGGGGAGGTAAGAACCTTTCGCCCTTCCCCCGTATCCATCTTCCTCCTTCTTCTCTTCTTTCTTTCCTTTTATATTTTCTTTTCCTTTCCCTTCTCTCTCTCTCTCTCTCTCTCTTATTTATTTTTGGCGGGGGGGGGGGGGGAGGCAAGAGCCCCTCTTTTCTTCTTATTCTTCTTCCTTTCTTTTTTATTCTCTTTCCTTTCCCTTTCCCTTCTCTCTCTCTCTCTCTCTCTCTCTTATTTATTTTTTGGCGGGGGGGGGGAGGCAAGAGCCTTTCGCCCCCGTTTCCCTCTTTTCTTCTTCTTCTTCCTCTTCTTTCTTCCTTTAATCTTTTCTTTCCCTTTCCCTTCTCTCTCTCTCTCTCTTATTTATTTTGTTGGCAAGAGCCCTTTGCCCCCTTTCCCTCTTTTCTTATTCTTTTTCCTCTTCTTCCTTTCCTTTTAGATTTTCTTTCCCTCTCCCTTCTCTCTCTCTCTCTCTCTCTCTCTCTTATTTATTTTTTTGGCGGGAGTGGGGGGGGGGGTGGGGAGGTAAGAAATAAGAATCTTTCACCTTCCCCCTATCCATCTTTCCTTTTTCTTCTTCTTTCTTTCCTTTTATATTTCTTTCCCTTTCCCTTCTCTCTCTCTCTCTCTCTTATTTATTTGTTGGCAGGGGGGAGGCAAGAGCCCTTCGCCCCCTTTCCCTCTTTTTCTTATTCTTTTTCCTCTTCTTTCTTTCCTTTTAGATTTCTTCCCTCTCCCTTCTCTTTCTCTTCTCTCCTCTCTCTCTCTCTCTCTCTCTTATTTACTTTTTTTGGCGGGAGGGGGTGGGGGGGGGGGGAGGTAAGAACCTTTCGCCCTTCCTCTGTATCCATCTTTCCTTCTTCTTCTTCTTTCTTTCCTTTTATATTTTCTTTCCCTTTCCCTTTCCCTTCTCTCTATCTCTCTCTCTCTCTCTCTACTATTTATTTGTTGGCGGGGGGGGGGGGGGAGGAGGAGGCAAAAGCCCTTTGCCCACGTTTCCCTCTTTTCTTCTTCTTCCTCTCTTTCTTTCCTTTTATCTTCTCTTTCCCTTTCCCTTCTCTCTCTTTCTGATTTATTTTTGGCGGGGGGGGGGGCAAGAGTCCTTCGCCCCCCACCTTTCCCTCTTCTCTTCTTATTCTTCTTTCTTTCCTTTTTTATCTTCCCTTTCCCTTTTTTCCTTCTCTCTGTCTCCCCCATCAAAGAGACCACTCTGTAATCAAGACCATTCCATTTTATTTAATACATTTTCGATATACTTAAATTGGCAACTATTACCTTCTGTCCGAGATCCTCATTTTAAACGACTGATGCGAAAGACTAGTCGACGCACCCTTTCGAGAAAAGCCCCCCCCCCCCCCCCCCCCCGCTTTCATCGAAAGGGTGTGTTAAAACGGTACTCCGCTCTCAACGCACCCTTTCGAGAAAAGGCCCCCTCTTTTATCGAATGGGTGCGTTGAGCACACCACACCGCGCCGCACCGCACCGCACCCTTTCGATGAAAGCCTCAGTTCAGACCCCCTATTAGTAGTGATGAAGCATTGCATGAAACAAAACATAAAGTAGCTAGATAGATAGATAGATAGACATATACAGAAAGACAGATATTGATAACCAAATACACGAATATAAGCACAAACAAATCAACCAAGAATAAATATATAAATAGATGCACATATAATAACATAGAGATAAATGCTTAATTAAATAAATAAACAAAATAATAAATACAATAAATCAACCAATTAATTGATAAATAAATAAATGAATAAAAATAGCAATATATATAGAAACAAATAAATAAATACCTCGTCGTCGGGCCTAGCCGCTGTACAGGCATATTCACTTTCTATTTTCCTGGCGAATACCGCTGTTCTTCCGAAGGTTTTGCCGACGGAGGGGTTGGGGGGGGGGGGGGTTATACTCCTAAGAAGGCTTGGACAGTTTCATGTTCCTTTTAGGGGCCACAGCCGTTCCGGTGCCCATGCATCAGTAATGAGAGGTAGTTAGTTCCTTTTTTCAATGAAACACCCTTGAAATTTAATGTAATTAATAAAGCCCAATATTTACTCTTTATACAGATCCATCCTCAATCGGTTGCTTTTCGATTTTAATTCATATGTCCATGTCCTGGCATTATAAGTACACAGTGGGGGCTGGGGTCCTCAGCTCAGCCCACCAACCTAGCCCCCCCCCCCCCCCACCCCGAGAATTTTGAAAACATCAATAGTCGAGCAATCTTCCCTCCATTTGCGGTCAGCAAGGCGTGCCCGAATATTATTATGTCATTTTGATATTTTATCCGATGTTTTTTTCCCACAAAGAGTAAATTTTCAGAAATTTGATCCCCTCATTATATTGTTTAACTAATCAAAATTGTGTAGGGGCGGGGGGGGCCTATTGATTTTTTTATCACACAAAAACTACACATTTTTATTGGCCCAACTACAATCTGTTTTGTCTTGTAGAGACTGCAGAACTTTAGTAGCATAACTGTTTTCATATGCATTAATACGTTATGAAAAGATCGGGAAAAATCTCAGTATAAATAACTTATTTAAAGGCACACTGTCCTACTTGTAGCTACTTGCTCCCTCTATATAGAAAACTTCCCAAATTGGTGCCTGTTGGTCCCCCATGATCCTCTTTTTCTTATGTTAAATGAGATAGCCACCTGTCACAGTGACCTCGTTGGCTCGCTGTGTGGTCTAATCCCTTCTAGCTGCAGTAGTAGCGCCTACCTTTAAAGCTTTATACATCATTTTTTATGATGATTTTTTTTTTTAGAGGGGGGTGGGGGGGGGGGGGGGAGTTTGTGCTAAATCTATCTTTTCTATTGTTTGTCATATCATTGTAAAAAAAATAAGAGATAGGAATACGTCATTATTGAAATAGCTTGGAGGCAAAACAATCATCGTAGCTCTATATAAATGCGTTTTCTTTCGTCACGACAGCTGTCATCACTTCCAGATCTAGATAGGCCTATATTGCATCGGTGAGAAGAAAAAAATAATTTTGCATATTAATTGTATTTCTGCTCCTCACTATATTAGTTTTGATCGCTTCTTTGTTTAGTAATGATTGCCAATGACAAATACAATTTAATACAACTATCTCGATCCACACCACGGGCCACACCAGTCCTAGCCGCGCCCGCCGGAGACCACCGGCCGCGCCCATCACTTATAATTTATCACATTCGTATCGTGACGTCATCATTGTCAAGGGAAGCTTTCTCCTGGCAACACGAATTTTTTCGTGCCCAGAATTTGATGGTGTTTTATTTACTCTGATGTCTGTTTTATAATTGAGTCGTCATGGCAAATAAGAGAGGAAGGGAACCATCTGCAGATGGTGGGGATGTCGACAAAATTCGTGCGGAAATCGAACAAGAGAAGCAGATGAGGTACGAAATTACTAATGCAATTATCAAGGCCAGTCCCACATGTGTAAATTTATGCTGCGAATGATGGGAAGGGTGTGATGGGAAGTCTCATGTCTGCACACCTAAGATTTGACTTGAAATTGTAAATTATTTTCATTTGTATACCTCTAATGCTTCCTCTGATATTATTTCTTATTTTCTTTAGAGTAGGTGGGTCGAAATTGAGCAAGATCATTGGTTTGCCAATCATTCAATCAATTTTGTCATTTTCAATTTCACAAGAAGAAAACGCAGCTGTGCGAGCTGTGGCGAGTCTTGTCATTTTGACATTTCAGGTACAAAGATCTTCTTCTTTTTCTCTGTCTTCTTCGGTTTGAGTCTGCCTCCTTCAGAGTTGAAGATTCTTGCAGACTGATGAGTGTGTGTATGCTAATGAGATCGGCACTCTAGACGGTAGACCGAAAGCTTCAGTCTCTATAATCGTCGGTTGTTCCACTGAGACTACGTCTGGCTCCACTAGACCTCCGGTTATAGAGACTGAACGACTGCCTATGCCAGCCTGTGTTGAACTTATTCCGCTAGATTTTAGCCGCTAGGCCCCTCCCACAAACTTGCCACGGCCGTATTGTTATGCCCCCAAAATCCCCCAAATGTCATTTTACCTCGTCCATATCCAATTTTAAATTAGGCCTAGGCTATAATACATCGGTTCCACTTACTAATTTGATGTAAATAATCCGTTTAATGGTCCCTTTTAAGGAAATTATGGGTCAAAATCGACATCCATGTTGAAAATCTTGCAAGCCGTCCGTTAAACTCTCGCTGCCGTCAATCTCATCCCTTCTAGTCTACGCCGAAGGCAAAATGATAATGAAGGAAAAAAACTGTGCGCATCTACACGCTCGTAATGGCGTTATCACAGTTTTTTCCTTCATAATCATTTTGCCTTCGGCGTAGACTAGAAGGGATGAGATTGACGGCAACGAGAGTTTAACACGGCTTGCAAGATTTTCAACATGGATGTCGATTTTGACCCATAATTTCCTTAAAAGGGACCATTAAACGGATTATTTCCATCAAATTAGTAAGTGGAACCGATGTATTATAGCCTAGGCCTAATTTAAAATTGGATATGGACGAGGTAAAATGACATTTTGGGGGATTTTGGGGGCATAACAATACGGCCGTGGCAAGTTTGTGGGAGGGGCCTAGCGGCTAAAATCTAGCGGAATAAGTTCAACACAGGCTGGCATAGGCAGTCGTTCTGTCTCTATAACCGGAGGTCTAGTGGAGCCAGACGTAGTCTCAGTGGAACAACCGACGGTATAGAGACTGAAGCTTTCGGTCTATCTAGACGGTAGACCTAGACCTTGATTTCTAGAGCGTTTTGCATGGGTGTGCTAAACTGTGCTTCATTTCGTCGCACACAATAGTTTACACACTTATTATAGACTCTATATGTAGAATCTGTGGAGTGGGAATGAGGGAAAACAATGCTTGTGACAAAATGGTGAACTTGAAGCACGCCTGGTAGCTGAGCGAAAATGCACTGCCTGCCACTAGCACCATGTAAAGTCAAAGGTTCCGATATCTGTGCAATCATTCATGTTACATGGAGTTTAACCGAAAGTAAAATCTTCAAGATTTTTTTATGTAAGAAAAGATAGCATTTTGAGGCTTCTTAATAATATAACAACTTTTCTCAACATTCTGCTGATAGTCAGATAGTAGCAACCATGTGCATAACATTAACGGTGAGTAAGTCAGAAATATTCAAATAGACCTAGGCCTATTGTGTTTAATATTTATAATGAATGTGATTTTTTGCACTTTTAGTTTGTTGATATCTTGCTGAACCAATTATACAACCTTTCCAATTATTGAAATGTTAGAATCAAGTACAGTAGAAGACTACCACTGTACCAGTTTCTCTCAAAACAATGTTTAACTTTTAACTTGTATGTTTTGTTTTTCTTGCAGTACCATGCTTGAGAGCTCAATGATAGAGCTAGAAACAACCATGGAGGAATTGGAAAAGAGATATGATTGCATTTTGGATGAAGGTCAGTGATTGTCACACACACACCAAAAAAAAAAAAAGCTTACAGTTTCATTAACATGAAACAAAGAGTAACCACATAATTCTAATCTAATTTCTAAAAGCTGATATACATTACATACAGTATATGAATTCTGGTTCAAAATTTAAAAAAGGAATGTATCACCATCTGGATACTAGCATATTGTAGTGTTCAAGTGAAGAAATGCTCAGATTCTTGATAAAGTGCCCCCCCCCCCCCACAAAGGGGGGGGGGGAAGGGAAAAAATAATGACTATAAAATAGTAAATAAAATAAGATTAATTTCCCCCCATTATTATTAATAGGAGCTTTTATCATTACCCCCTAGATTGCAGCCATTATTGCAATGTCTGTAACTGGTAGTTAAAAAGCCTAACAATCTGTTCTACTATCAATACTTTTACCGCTGGAAGGAGTAAAAGATAGCATGTGGATCCATGAAAAATAAGTCTTCTTATAAATCTTTTGAAAGTTTTGTTATGAAATGAAAGTAAACCAGAGCAAAATAAATATATTCCTAATTTGATAGATGATTTAAACTAATTCAATTGTAATTGTATTATGTTTGTCTTTGAAGCTTCTTGGTTCAAATTTGTACCTACATGTATACCTGTATCAATGGAATATTTCATCTCTATTTACAGGCAATGAATGGAAAACACGGTTCGAGACTCAGGAGGAACTCAATGCTCTACTTGAAAAGCAGCTTCTTTTTCTCAGAGACAAATTGGAAAAGGCTAAAGAGAGCTCTAAAGATGGATTCAGTGAAGAACTCAAGGCTTTTGATGACCTCTCAGAGGTCAGTTATTCAAGTACATGTATATATGAAACAATATACCAAATCAAAGGGCATCCCCCCTCCCCCAGTATGTATCATATAATGATCATATACTGAAATAAAATAGCCCACGTACCCTCCAGAGTCCAGACAGGCCCTTGAACTTTTTTCTTCAAGGAAAACAAATTTGGGTTGAGGTTTTTAAAAAAAAGAACCCTTCAAGGGAGGCCATATTTGGAAGCTCTGGTTGATCTCAATGGTACAGATGCTATTGATGTCCCATGCAAACCAAATGTGTGGCTACATGTATAAGCTGGCCCTCAGAAAGTCACATTGGCCTAATGAAAGTTGGACAAACTAAGCCATTTGGCTACATCATTGATTCTACCTCCTTGAAATTTGATTTTGCAATTTTTCTGGCAGATGGTTACCAAGGCAGTCTAAGCCTCTTCTTGGAATCATTGTGTTCTAGGTGTGTACTGTATTTTTTAACATTTACTTACTAGAATGTATGACAATTAGTGATTAAAACAAAGTTCATGAAAATTGATTGCTTTGTAGTGGTCAAGCTATAGTGATCTCACTAGTTATTTGTGCATTGACTAAATGACTGGTTCAGATTTAGATTTAGTGTTATTTAGTGCTGTGTGATAAGAACCACTCTAAAATAAACCAGTCTGTACATGTACAGGTGTATGCTTGTTTTTATAATTTCTTTTACCGGTATATGATTTTTCCTGCATGTTACTGATCACAAACTGTATGAATGATTTGATTATGAGGAATTTTACATTGTGTAATGACATATAAATAAATGAATGTGATGTTTGACTTGTTTCATTATCAGCCAAGCTTAAGGAAACTGGTTAAAGAACTAGAACGTGAGAAAAACAGTTTCAATAGCCAACTGAGGGACTATGACTGGAGGCTAGATCAAGAATCAAAGGTACTGTCATTAATACTTTGTTTAAATTGTTTTTCTCGTTACTGTTGTTGTTTGTCTTTGTTTGCTGCATCCAGATTGACACAGCATTGAAATTCATTCCTTTATTTATGAATATATTCCGCAGTACTTCAACTTCATTCCTAAAGAATATTGGAAGCAAGATTATATGTGTTATGTCATTGGTATTAAGTCCCTTTAAATTACTCCTCTAGTTATGATGATATCTATGATTTAAGAGTTAGGTAGGTGGTGTTACAGATAGCATTCTTATTTTTTCTTTGTGAAAATGTATATATTTTCCTAGCTTTATGTTGTTATTCTTTCTAAAACTTTCTTTTTATTTTCTATTATTGCATTATTATGAGCATTTCCTACATGTAGCTCTGTTTTGATCTATGGTTTGATTATGTTAAATACACTACAGTTTTCAATATTTAATTTGAAGAGGTGATTAGACTCTTCTTTCGCAAGATGCAGCAAAATTTATCAATAAAGCTAATATGAACAAAAAGAAGAGTTTGAAACACATTTCTTGAAATAAAGATCATGTATTCCTTGCAAAAATCAAACATATATTGGTTCATATAAAAATACATGTACTGTAGATATGAGCAGTGTTCATTACAGTTCAACATCAGAATGTGTATTTCAATGTTTGTTTCAATGCAGGCTTTCCATAAAGCTCATGAAGCAAGGAAGAACTTTTTAACTGAACTCAGAAATGTAAGTATTTATAAGCTGCTTTCAATTTCAACATTTGTATGTGACATTGACCACCCATGGCATGGCATGGCTCATTATAGCGTTTAGAGACTTCGGTGATAAGCGCTTTATAAGTAACATTTTTCATTACCGTATTTATTTGTTATTATTATTATTTTTATTTTTTATTTTTATTTATTGAGATATTTCAAGTTTAATTTAATTTTCATTTGATTTACCATCGCTAGGATGATGTATGCTCATTTGAGAATTAAATAAATAGAATTTCCAAGCGAAGAATTACAACTTTTCTACCATGCTCCATTAAAAATATTTTTAAAAGCATTTTCAGTTTGTGAGAAAGTATGTTTTTGAAGTATGCCTAGCTGATTCATTTCAGCTTTTTGAAGAAAATGTTAATAAAATTGAAATGATAATTTGCTAGATACAAAGAAAACAAATGCCGAGTGAAAATGGGTTACTTTTTAAGATTTCCAAAGAGATGTTGAAATGAGTTACATAACAATAGGAGAAAAATACCTTTAAACATTTGCCTGAAATTATTTAATTGGATATTATTCCAATTCTAAAAGTCATTCAGACACCATATACCACATGAAAAGACATTTAAATATAGGCATACTTTGTTATGAAAAATAGCAATTTGCTTTTCTGTCTTTCATTCTAATCACCCCTTTCTTGCTGTTCTCTTCATTACCTTATTTCATCCTCTTTCACCAGGCTCGATTAGAAGAAGATAAGTTCAAGCAAAGTCAGAAGAAAGGCAGTCATATGGGTACACCGAGAGATAGCTATAACAGTACTCCAGCCAGCAGACCTCCTGGAAGAAAGTTGGTATCTTCTCATATACTTTACATCATTCATGTTAGGCAGTGGTAAAGAAATAGAAAACTTCAAGAAGCAAAATTAACACTGATAGTAAAGTGAAGTGAAGGATATAAGAAGGTGAGCTGTGTGCGCAAAGCTATTTATCTACCTTTAAAAATAAAATTCCTACAGAAGGTTAAAAAAAAGTGGGGGTGGGGGGTTAGAGGTAAAAGTAAAGAGAGGAGATAAAAGAGATTAAATGGGCGGTCAGGTTTTTGAAAATAATCATACAAATCTAGCATTGAGAGGGGAAGGGTGGTACGTTCGGACAGAAAAGAAGTGCAATATACAATACAATATTGACACTAATTTAGTTACGAAAGTGAGATTAATCCTTTTTGTGAGTCCAAAATGAAACATGTTTGATATGTACCTCAATGTTTTAAACAGAGCCATTCACACAAAAAACATTGATTTGTATTTGGCGTTCTATGCCTGTATCCTATAATTATAAAATACTTGGAATTGAAAATTACTTTTATGAATAGATACCTCAGAAATGCTGCTTAGAGAAGTTACCCCAATTAATTTTGGTGCAGGCCTTGAGATGTGACCTTTCCTATTCATGTTCTCTAACTTGTCACTATATGATTGCCTCATACCCTCAGATTATTTTATGTCTTTGAATAATAATCTCTGAATATTTTATTATTTATAGATAATTTTAACTAATTATATTTGGGTGATTGCTCTCCTCTCAATAACACTAACATTCCTGCAAAGCAGCTAAATCAATGAATTAGAGCTCATTTTCTTTTTTTCTCCTAATCTTTCCCCACCAGTGTACCTGACAATCAGAGAATCATTGATCCACGAAGAGGTCCAATCAGGAAAAACGCTGCTGTGAAGCTGAATTGAAGACCTAACCAACCATTGACACATCAGCAGTCAGTATAACACGTGAGATTGAAGCAGAACCAGAGGTATACTGACATGGACTGAGAAAGGGGTTAACTCTCCCAATATGCCCAGGAAATTAAATCAGCCTACAAAACTCAATACCGGTATACTATTGGGGTGGTTTTTTAAAACAATTGATTGTCATAACAAATGATATTAGGACAAGCCATTGGTTAATGTCTGCACAAAGTTGACAATTTAAAAGAAAATCTTTACAAGCTCCAATGTTGTTTATTGTGACAATGAACATCATTTTACCTAACATAAATTATTGTTTCAAAATATGGAACTTTACTATGACCAAATTGTGTGTGTGGGGGGGGGGGGGGGGGGGGGAGTTGTATGGGGGTTAGATAGAATAACAAGTTAATTTTCCTGAATGAACTTCTTATTAAAAGTGAAAGGAATACAACTTTTTTTTTTTAACTGTTGACCTTCTAAATCTTAGATAGCTCATTTCAATTACCCCCCAAATATTTCATAGTCGTACATTATAGTACATGTATACGGCAGGCTTAATGTACGGTCCAGAGTGTTGGTTAAAGCCATATGGGGTAAAATTAAAATGATACATTTTGTTTCAATTTAACAACCTTAGAAAGAGGAATGTTACCCCTGGGGAAAATGTTTTTGAAACATTTGCATTTTAGAAAATGTTGTAAATATTGATTCACGAGCTACATGGTTCCCTATATATATACATGATTGTGGCTTGTAAAATCATGAAAATCATGGACATGGATATGATTCAAAATAAATAGGTCCAATTATTTTTTTAGCTTTTATGACATATTCCAAACAAGAATGTTTGGAAATTCAGGGCATAGTTTTACACTAATTATTTGAAATGACAGAATCTTGAAGAAAATGCTTTGAATTCAATCAAAGAGAGTAAAGCAGTACCTTAATACATAAAATTAGTTGCTGTTGGAAAACTTTTTTACTAATTATTATGCTATTATCATATTGGTTAATGTATGCGACATTCCAATCTGTGTATATAATCAATTTTATTTAAGCTTACATCTCATGACTCTGCATGTATATCTATTGTTTGATTCCATGTACCTAATTGCTTGTATATGTAACCTACTGTCACTATGAATATGACTGACAAAGAAAGCGGACAAAATATACAGTTCCTCAGGTAGACAAAGGAACATCCCTTCACTGCTATTATGTAAAAATTTGTAGAACAGGTGTCACATGCATATTCACCTTTTTACATAATAGCAGTGAAGGGATGTTCCTTTGTCTACCTGAGGAACTGTATATTTTGTCCGCTTTCTTTGTCTGTCATGTTCATAGTGTGTACTGTACATATCTGAAATATCTATTTTAATTTCTTTTTCAATTATAACATTAAATGTAGATATCTTGCTTGAATGATTAGACAGCCTTCCTTCAAACTGTGAGCATGTTAAGCTTGTTCAGTGAAAACTTTTGTAAAAGCTATTAGATTTCAGAATAATTGCTCAAGTCCCAAATAAACATGTACCGGTACATGTATGTGGAGGGTCAAAGGAACATTAACTTTGTTAGAAATAGAAGTGCTACTGTATTGTCTGATGAGAGATAGATGGGCTGCGCAGACACATTCTTTAAAGGTAAAGACCACTATTGGAAACGCCCCAATTTCAAAAAATGAAATGGAAGCTCTCATTACCAATCATGTGAAAGAATATGTTTTGACTAATACATGATGATAAAAAAGTTGCCGGGAAACCGCCTACTAACTCATATATTTGGTAAATTTGTTTCTCTCATGGTCTGTGAGAGATATAGGGTAGTCCCATATACATCTTTCTGTATAGTGCTTGTAACTTTACAAAGAATGGGCCAAATTTCTTATCATTTTGATGATTCCAGAACCTTGCAGATGCTAGATGCTAGATGATCAACCTTTTCTGATCGATTCCACAACGTTTCTTTCACAATGCAATCGCATGACCATAACTGGTCTTACCTTTAACAAAAAGCAATTACCCTTCTGGCTACTCTCTCTGAGATTATGATGTCATGTTTTCCCTCGTTTACTGAATTGTTATTCTTGAGAAGACAATACAACTCAAACTATAGTGCACAATAAGTTTCATATTATTATTGGGCACTTGAAATATGGTTCACACTTAAAGGAAGGTGTAGTTGCTTTAGAAGTCATGTAGCATGTATATAGTACATGTACTTTCAAAACTTGACAAGACGTGTTTTCAAAATTAAATTCATGAACAATTTATTTATGTAATTATTGCAATTTTCCCGTTTATTCTCCCCCTCCTTATATATATATATATATTTGTAATTTTTTGTTTAATATACAATTGTTTGTCATTGTATTTTTTATGTTATAGCGCTTCAATAGAGACTTCGGTGGAAAGCGCTTTATAATCAGTGTTTTATTATCATTATATTAATTACAACTCATTGGACATTTGAGCTTAAGTTTACATGCATATCCTGTTGTAATGAAGCCACTTGTGACAAAATACTTTCCTATCCAATCCTGAAGTACTTCTTTGTTTCATATTCCTCTCTAGCTAGGTGATTTTTGTGGTCCTATGGATTTTCTGTTTAAAAAAATGGTTGTTGAATAGAGTCTGAAGTTTAAAAATAAGAACAAATCATACCGGTTCACTCTTAAAATTAAATATTTTGGCAAGTTGAATAACTTAACCAAGTAGTATCATTATTACCTGGTAAAATTCATTGATAATATTTATATTGTATTCAGTGTAAGCTTAATAAGAACAATTAAATAAAACAAATTGTGAGTTCTTAAATGACCCAAGACATGGTTTAGAATCTGGCCGATTTAATTCCAACAATCTCCATCAATGAGATCACCCCTAACTTGCTGCATACCAAAGATAGCGTGATCCCTGATTTAGTATGCCAGGGGGGTGTTTCACAAAGATCCTAAGTTGAACTTATCTCTAAGTTGGACTAACAGTTATGGAAAACCATTAGCATCCTTGAAAATATTTTGTGAAAGATATTTTAAAAGGCATAAAATGTTGATTCAAATAATTCATATTTTCTATTATCATGGGAGATTTCATGTTCTTGATGTGGAATTTATGAAAGTCTAAAATACTTTAATTTTTGCGTTTTAATATATTTCAAAATAAGGCTACAAATGGCTCTCCATAATATTTAAGTCCAACTTAGAGTTAAGTTTGACTTTGAATCTTTGTGAAAAACCCCCCAGGAGGAAAAAATAAGGCTAGACATACAGATTGATGGATCATGTCATCTTCAGCATTCAGCAGGTAGGGGATGGGACAGATTGACCGCAATCTCAAAATAATAAATCTGGCCGGATTCTGGACTACCCAAGACTGTGTAGTCCTGTAATGAGTAATGCTTGTAGAAAATTGAACTGTATATTTGAAGATATAAAATACTGTGAGCAGTAAATTTATTACAATAAAGTGAAGTGCAATAGCAACATATTTGGAATCTTATATACTCTTATCTCAATGTTTGTGTGTATTTCTATAGCTGGAATAAAATACCATCTTTGCAATCACAGTACCGTTTTCATGAAGAAGCACAGCTCCTTAAATTCACATCTCATAAATGTCATTCTATTAATTTTTTGCAGATTATAAAGTTTTCTTTCTCTCTTCTTCATTTCCCTTCCCCTCAATTTACAATTAATCTTTCCCTCTCTACCCAACTTCCGCCTCTTCTATTGACTCCAATATGGCCTTAACTACACACTGGCACAACTTACATTATTTAACAGAGACCAAACATGGTTCTCTCTCTCTCTCTCTCTCTCTCTCTCTCTCTCTCTCTCTCTCTCTCTCTCTCTCTCTCTCTCTCTCTCTCTTTTTATCTGTCTGTCCTTTTCTCCAATAGACCTGTTTACTAACATATTCAAATTTGATGCAAATTTTTTTAACAAAGGTTGCTCTTGACAACCTGAAAGCTTGAACACGCCTTGCCCAACATAGCAACAAGTAATGACTTGTAGTTTATTTTTTCATAACGGGATAAGGGAATACATTATCACTAGGTCCCCAGGAAAGAAACATCCATAAATTTGGAAATGTTAGTAAACTGGTTTATTCATTTTTTCAGCACAGTTTCTAATTTCCCTCTTGATCACACTTTCTTTTCACCACTGAAATTTCAAACACCAATCCATGTTACAAAGCAAACAAATTCTTATTTTTTCAAGTAAATAAATTTAATTATCAGTGCTGTCTTTTTTGAGAATATGAATGTTTTTCTTCTGACATTACATTATCTTCCCTGACCAACCATAGCAGATACATATACATGTATTTATCTCCTTAATCCCTTCTGTGCAACATAGTTTCTGAGCAACTCTAGAAAATGTACTTTATAGTGTTTACTTTTGATTTGAATGCCTCATTTTCTAGTTAGATTAAGCTCTTCATATCTTTCCAAGGAATTAATTTCACAATGTTTCTAAAAGAAGAACATAAATATCCTCAGTTAAAATGTTTGGTAATTTCTCAAAACCCTTGGGCAAGATGTACCTCCCAACGCATGGAAGTAGCTTTAAGCCTTCTCCTGGTATGATCAGTAGTTTGAAACAGAATTGTTTTCAAACTCCATAAAGGGAGAGAAAAGGGCAAAATATTGTTGAAGAAATTTGATTCACTACTATGGAGAAGGAAGCAATAATAGTATTGTTCATTCAATCATGATTAAATGAATTAATATGTGAAAACCTGTGTTTATAACAACAAAAAGCCCATCATTTTGAGCATTTAACACTGTAAGGTATAACATCCCAAATCCAAGGACGATTCACGGTGTTGTTGATATTCATATCCACACAGACAGGAAAGCCTGATCTTTTTATTCCTTTCTCAAGAACTTGTCATCACAGACACATTAGATGCTACATCTGGCATATATCAACAGTTATTTACAAAACAATGATGTCCACACAATAGATCTCTCTAGGGATGAAGAAGTGATTCAACGAACAGGCAACCATCTTTGTGTGACCTCTCCTAACTTCTTGGGCGTCTCTACATGGGAGAAAATCAGAGACCAAATAGAGGACAAATTAACTTTCACTTCTTTATTCATTTCATCATTGATATATTTTTAGGGTTGTAATTGGATATCAGGTTAGGCTTAGAGTTAGGATTAGGATCAGGTCTAGCGTTTGGTCTAAGGTTGAAGTTAGGTATTTTGCTAGTGTAGGAAATTGTCAATGGAGCAAGTACCGGTATCAACGAAGTAGATCTTTAAACCTACATTAGTCTAATAAAATGGAATACAAGGGAAATTCCTACAAACCAACACACATACCTACAGTACAGCGCATTCTTGTCTTCAATTTCTTTTTACAAAATTGTGATTACATTACACCAAGACAATAATATTATGTTTGCATCACATTTTCTATGTCTTTTTATACTGGCAAAAAGAAAAGGCTTCATAGGCAAGTTCCCTTTTCAACACGATGTGGCAATCATTCATTCTACCGGTACTTTATTTTCATTATCCCTATTTCATAAAATAGTAATGCACTATACATGTACACAAAATATTGTGTCTACAGTTAGAATTAATGTAAAAACTCGATCTTAAAACAACTTCATTTAGCATTCTTTGGGCCAATGATTATGGAGTATGCACTATGCAGGAAATATAGAACAACATAAAGCCTTGCCCAAAGAACCACAGTGGGACTTGGCTTCTGCGCGAGCCACATATTATGCAAGAACATACAGGAGCATCAAAACGTTAACTCAGTGCTTACAGTTTGCTTTTATGTCAACTGAGAGTGTATTTACACTCTTACTATAGAACAAATATTTTAACCACATATATTAAATATAGTACACTGACAATGAACCGATAACGTCCAGAGTAAAATGTGTTTTGGTGAATTAATGTATTACCGGTACCTATAAATAGATCAAATAGCACAACAGAGTTTTTCTTACCCTTTGAAAAGTCTTCTGGATGTCTGTTCACATATTCCTCGATGTAAAACTCTCTCTCTGCCAAGGCTCTGCTTTCAAATCGACCAATGAAGTAGCCTATCGATCCACCGATAATAGAAGCAATAATGTGCCTATGTCCACCTGTACAAAGAGAGAGAAACAAAGAAAGAAAGAGCGGAAGGTGGAGAGAGAGAGAGAGAGAGAGAGAGGGGGGGGGGGGGGGGGGGGGGAGGAGAGAGAAGGAGAGAAGGAGAAAAGAAAGAGAGAGACAGAGAGTAATTAGTGAATGGTACATATTAACATACAATGCATGGGAACGGAATCATTTGGTAAAGAAGAAATGAAAAAGAAAAAGTATCCAGTGAGTATACCTCTTGCATTATTTGTCTCCTTAAAATGTCAACTGGGAAGCGGATTTCAAGTCCTAAACTTTGTCAGAGTTGCACATGACTCGGACGTAGCACATGACACATTATTCACCAATAACAAGCAGTATGCTATTGTTGACTACGAGTGCCTTGGGCCTTGGGACTTGGGCACAACTTCTAATATTTCCTGTTATAGATCCTATTCCATGGTCAAAATCAGTCAAAGCAGCATTACAATAATACCGGTGCTTTGTTTGCAATAAGAAATGTTAAGACACTCTCCATTGATTCTCAAAATTTTGAAACACCACTGTTATACAAAACTCACCAGAACTCACAAACAATCGGCACTTTAGTGACAATTGAAGACACCCTTAATAACAATAGAATATGATCAATTCAATTCACCAATGTTGGAAAAAACAATTTGAAAATTGAATCAGAATTCTATCGTCAATTTAGACGAAGAGCCATTTCGTATTCATTGTGTGCATTTCTTGGTCACCACGCGCATTGAATCTCCTTGTAAACTTTCTGTATACATGGAAGCCGCTACCCCGCATGCGTACTTTCTATTTGCCATGTTGAATCAACGATATACAACATGGGATGAACTGGGTTAGGACGATCGAATCGCCCTTTTTCAGATTTTCCCCATCAAATTTTTTTTAAATGATAATGTCAAGTGGTTGAACGGATGCCAATGCCAGAGGAGTCGAAAAAATGTGACCCAATCTGCTGTTTGAGTCGTTTTCCTATGCAGGCTCTGGAGCACCAGTGGAGCTAGACAGAAATAACCGTCTGATTTGGTCATTTCTTTTATAAAACTGACATTTGTTGACATTCCCAAATACAGACGGCAACCCAGGGATCTCATACCGTGGGGGTGGCTAGAGCCACCGATGTACATCTTTTCGTTTAAAACATTTTCTCCCCGATTTTCTTTATTTAGATCTTATTTTCTGATTTCTAAATCAGATGTAAATTAGGTCGGTATATACCTCCTAATTACAGTTTTCAAAATTTGCTAACCTATTATAGAATGTGAAATTTACGGACTTACTTATTATGAGTTATCCAATTTTATCTCAGAACCGCTAAACAGTACGTTCATGCATGCAAACTATTACCCGGCGGCTGATATATTTCCGGTTAAACCTACCAAAACATAGCCAATGGCCAATCAGAGCACTCGTTTCGTGCGAGTTTGTTGGTCAAGCCGGGCTGACTCGTACGTAGCTACGGCAGCTATTGGACGTTCGAAAAGAAAAAATGAATATTCATCAACTAAAACCAAGACGGATAATGTTGACGACAAGACTTTCTCAGATTAATCATTAATTTAGGATCTAAATGAGCAAGCTATCGTAGATCTAAGTCAAATAAGCTATATTTTTAATTTTTATTATAATTGCAGCAGTTATGAGGATGTAAAGAGTGAAAATCTCGTTGCATATCTCATTCATCGCGGTCCGGTCGAACCGAACCATTTGTTCCGTACAGTCCCGTACAGTCCCAATAGGCCATACTTCAGTCTCTATAATCGGAGGTCTAGTGGAGCCAGACGTAGTCTCAGTGGAACAACCGACGATTAGAGAGACTGAAGTTTTCGGTCTACACTGGAGCGTACTATTAATATTAGGCCATGCATTTAGAACTTTAGCTTACATTTGACGCATGCACATTACGTTCATCCGATCTCAGCCTCACTTTCCTAAATTGGCGCCTACAAGGCCAAGGGCCCATCTTATTGACAATCGTAAAAAATAAAGGCAAGCCAAAGGGTTTGACTGAAAAGTGAAATATCATTATTTTGGTATCGGATCAAACAGAAAATCGCAAGCTTTCTCCTCGCACCAATATGTTATAACATTGAGTTAATGGCAGCCAGCGAAAGCCAATAAGAAGTGCCCTTGTCGGCGCCAATTTAGTAAATTTAGCCTGCAATTCGTCGAGACCGATGTCGTTATCTAGCCGCAGCGGATCATGAAGTCTACACACATTAATACAAACAGATGGGACCGAGTTTAAAATTCAGGCAACAGATGCAATGACATTTTGTTATCAATTACATTTAGGTTTAGACCATTAAATAGTATTTTACCTGAAAGAAACGGTCTCCTGAGCAAACCATTGTTGACAAAGGAAGATGCTAGTCCATACCCAGCGCACATCCATGTGTATTTATTCAAAATTTTGACCTCCCTGCAATTTGTGGTAGGCAATCTTTTGGAACCTGTAGAGGTTTGCGCACGTCACTACGTAAAGGAAATGTTGACGCCCCCTAATGAATATGCATTATGCTCGTGCCGGAGTCGGGCTAACTCGGCCCACGGGACTACTCGGCCCAGCTGGAAAAACTGGGCCGAGATGTCCCGACCTGATTAATCGATCGAGAGATATCAATGTGTATATGTTTGTGCTCTTTGTGACTTAATAATGCCCTTTCCAACCAAAATATTTAATGGAATTGTGTTTAATGATACCAATGATGACAATTTATAACTTATCTTTAGGTAAAATGACAAAAAAAATGACATTTCGGACAATTTACTCACAGCTCGCAATCTGCATTGCCGCACGTACATTAAATGTGCGTTGTATCTACTCGGACCACTGAAATTCGAGCAGTGTTTTTGTCGGTAAATCACTGCAAAAATATCATGTTTTATCTCGTATGAAGGTCTATTTTTTATTCCTGACACAGATTTCATTATTGAGAAGTCGAATATAGTACATTTTAGACGAGATGGTTGATGTTTGTTCACATTCTTTCGTCCTGGCCGTAAATTAGCAGACTACTGCCTAGTGCTACCGCAGCAGCTCAGCTCAGTGTGCAGCTAGCCGTACAGCGCCGCCGGCCGGGTCGGCGGGGGAATTCACTGACTCGTGCCGGGCCGCTGCACTGCATTGCATGATTGTACTGCCCAATTTGATCGAGTGATGTGTGAGTATAACTAATCAAACCAGATCTATATCTACTGTATTATCATTATTCATTCCGAGTAGAATATCCAATTTGATTTAGTGAGTAAACTAGACCTAGATCTAGTCTTTATCTATACACCATTATCATATTACTAGATTAGTCATTCAGAGTAGAATATTCGATTAATGAAGGAATGGAATTTTTCTTCTTCATAATCAGATAATCATATTATACTCCTAAAAGTTAAAGACTTGATAAATAGCTAGATCTCTCGTAAGGGCCTAGCCTAGTACTGTAAGAGAAGTGAGCTGAAGAATCGCCTTCTTTTTTTATTTTGGAGGGGCAGGCGCGTAGCCAGGGAGGGGGGGGGCAGTGGGGGCGGTCGCCCCCCCCCCCCAAAAAAAAGGAAGAGGACGTAGGAAGAAAAAGGATTAAGAGTCGAGAACGGTACAATGAGTCGTCTTCTTTCTCTAATTATTTAATGAAACATCAAAGCTTTCGCGCTTTGCGCGGAAAGGGGGGATGGAACTGAATTCAGATAAGGATAAATAGTCGAGAACGGTACAACGAATCGGGGTCCAGACAACTCGCCCCAAGACAACCCGCCCCAAGACAACCCGCCACCATACCCTGGACATCCCGCCACAATACCCTGGACAACCCGCCACAATACCCTGGACAACTCGCCACAGCCTTTTCGGACAACTCGCCACACTTTTTCCCATGATTTCTAGATCTAAAATGAAATGAAATTGTCATTTTTCATGATTTTCGTGCTTTTATAAACACAGTCATTACAAAGAATAAAGTTGATTTCCCTTGTAACAATAATATATATTGAATATTGAATATACATCTCAGATGTTTTAATTATAATGTTACTCATAATTACATAAAAGAACTTTTCAGTCTTTCTTCATTAAATTGTCTTTAATATTCGTCATGTAATTTTTCAAATGGGACCTTCTACTTTTAGCTCGCTTGCTCGAAAATCGATATTCAGTCCATCACACCAAATTGCGAAGTACGTTGCTTAAACAATAATGTTGTTCCACGTAAAGAAATAAACAAATATTGATGTCATTCGTGGTAATGTATTCACAATCTTGACGAAGGCGTAGGCCTTTATACAAATATCTAAAAATGGTTTTTATTATTGTTGATGTGTCCCTTTGTAGGTGCCCCTTTTTCAGAAATCCAGCCATTCTTGCGATCATAGGCGCCAGAAGTAGGGGCAGGGGACTCGCCCTCCTCCCAACGAAAAAGTGTGTGTGTGTGTGTGTGGGGGGGGGGTGGGGGGTCAAAACGAATTTCCACTCCCCCCAAAAAAAAACCAAAAAAAAAACCAAAACAAAAACAAAAACAGATAAAGCAGTATAATTTATTACTATTTAGTAACCAAAAAGAACATACAAAAATAATAAAACTTAAATTGAATCAATTTAAAATGATATTCCATTCAAAGAATTAAATTTCATAATTAAATTTCAATTTACATGACATGGGGTGGAGATGATGAGAGGGATGGAGATGATGAGAGGGATGGAGACAATGTGAGAGATGGAGATGATGAGAGGGATTGGTGAGGGATGGAGATGATGAGAGGGATGGAGACAATGAGAGGGATGGAGATGAGAGGGATTGGTGAGGGATGGAGATGATGAGAGGGATGGAGATGATGAGAGGGATGAAGATGATGAGAGGGATGGAGATGGTGAGAGAGATGGACATGATGAGAGGGATGGACATGATGAGAGGGATGGAGACGATCAGAGGGATGGAGACAATGGGAGGGATGGAGATGATGAGAGGGATTGGTGAGGGATGGAGGTGATGAGAGGGAAGGAGACAATGTTTATGATGTAAGGGATGAAGACGCTGTTGATGAGAGGGATTGGTGAGGAATTGAGACGGTGTGAGGAATGAAGATGATGAGAGGGATGGAGATGATGAGAGGGATGGAGACGGTGTGAGGGATGGAGACGTTGTGAGGGATGGAGACAGTGTGAGGGATGAAGATGATGGAAGGGATGGAGATGGTGACAAGATGGTGAGAGGGATGGAGACGATGAGAGGGATGGAGACGGGAGGGATGGAGACGTCTCCATCCCTCTAATCATCAATATCGTCTTCATCCCTTACATCATCAAAATTGTCTCCATCCCACTCATCATCTCCAATTCTCCATCCCTCACATCGTCTCCATCCCTCTCATCATCTCCATCCCTCACATTGTCTCCATCCCTCTCATCACCTCCATCCCTCACATTGTCTCCATCCCTCTCATCATCTCCAACCCTCACATTGTCTCCATCCCTCTCATCATCTCCATCCCTCACATTGTCTCCATCCCTTTCATTATCAATATCCTCTCCATTCCTCTCATCATCTCCATCCCTCACCAATCCCTCTCATCATCTCCATCCCTTACATCATCAACATTGTTTCCATTATGTATTATGCCACGTTGTGGAAATGCAATTTTATTTTTGTATTCATTATTTATTTATAGTATGTACATATTTACAGGTACACAAGATCAGATATAAATTTGTTAACCCCCAGCCCCCCCCCCCCAAAAAAAAAATTGTAACATGCCTTGTGTTGTGGTATTGGTACATATTATTTCATATGCAATTTACAAGGCAAAACAAAATCTAAATAAATAAAGTTAAAACAATTAAATAAAAATGAGGACATGTTTGAAAAACACACATAATAGCAATAAACATTATTTGTTTACGACTCCAAGATACAAATTCCAACAATATGACGTCAAGCTGACTCAAAATAACAAATGATAAGCAGGTGTAATCGTGTATTAATTTTATGCCACGTTGTGGTAATGCAATTTTGTTTTTTTATTTATTATTTATTTATAGTATGTACATATTTACAGGTACACAAGATCAGATATAAATCTGTTAACACCCAGCCCCCCCTCCAAATTTTGTTTTTTTATTTATTATTTATTTATAGTATGTACATATTTACAGGTACACAAGATCAGATATAAATCTGTTAACACCCAGCCCCCCCTCCCCCCCCCCCAAAAAAAAAAAATTGTAACATGCAGAGACCAGTACAGATGACACGCCACACCATTCCTTGTGTTGTGGTATTGGTACATATTATTTCATATATTGAAGTTACAAGGCAAAAAAAAACCTAAATAAATAAACAAAGTTAAAACAATTAAATAAAATTGAGGACATGTTTGAAAAACACACATAATAACAATAAACATTATTTGTTTACGATTCCAAGATACAAATTCCAACAATATGACGTCAAGCAGACTTATAATAACAAATGATAAGCAGGTGTAATCGTGTATTAATTTTATGCCACGTTGTGGTAATGCAATTTTGTTTTTATATTTTTTATTTATTTATAGTATACATATTTATACAGGTACACAGATATCAGTTATAAATCTGTTAACCCCCAGCCCCCCCCAAAAAAAAATTGTAACATGCAGAGACCAGTACAGATGACACGCCACACCATTCCTTGTGTTGTGGTATTGGTACATATTATTTCATATATTGAAGTTACAAGGCAAAAAAAACCTAAATAAATAAACAAAGTTAAAACAATTAAATAAAATTGAGGACATGTTTGAAAAACACACATAATAACAATAAACATTATTTGTTTACGATTCCAAGATACAAATTCCAACAATATGACGTCAAGCAGACTTATAATAACAAATGATAAGCAGGTGTAATCGTGTATTAATTTTATGCCACGTTGTGGTAATGCAATTTTGTTTTTATATTTTTTATTTATTTAAAGTATACATATTTATACAGGTACACAGATATCAGTTATAAATCTGTTAACCCCCAGCCCCCCCCCCAAAAAAAAAATTGTAACATGCAGAGACCAGTACAGATGACACGCCACACCATTCCTTGTGTTGTGGTATTGGTACATATTATTTCATATATTGAAGTTACAAGGCAAAAAAAACCTAAATAAATAAACAAAGTTAAAACAATTAAATAAAATTGAGGACATGTTTGAAAAACACACATAATAACAATAAACATTATTTGTTTACGATTCCAAGATACAAATTCCAACAATATGACGTCAAGCAGACTTATAATAACAAATGATAAGCAGGTGTAATCGTGTATTAATTTTATGCCACGTTGTGGTAATGCAATTTTGTTTTTATATTTTTTATTTATTTAAAGTATACATATTTATACAGGTACACAGATATCAGTTATAAATCTGTTAACCCCCAGCCCCCCCCCCCCCCAAAAAAAAAAA